TTTTTTTTATTTAATAAATACATATGTATGAAAAGTACATTGGGCAAAAAATTAACAGAACCATAAGAAAAATAGGTAAATCTAGCTTTATATTGGAAGGTTTTAATGTAACTCAGTAATTGCTAGATTGAGCAGTCTGATAATAAGTAATGTTTCTGATAATAAGAAAATTTAAGAGGCTGTGCATAGTGGTTCACACCCATAAACCTAGCACTTTGGGAGGCTGAGGCAGGAGGATCACTTGAGCCCAGGAGTTTGAGGCCAGCCTGGGCAACAAAGTGAGATCCTGTCTCTCCAAAAAAATTGAAAAATTAGCTGGGCATGGTGGTGTGTGCCTGTGGTCCCAGCCACATGGGAGGCTGAGGCATGGGGATCACTTGAGCCCAGGAGATTTAGGCTGCAGTGAGCTGTGTTCATGCCACTGCACTCCAGCCTGGGCAACAGAGAAAAGCAAAATGGAAATTTTGGCTACATCATTAACAGGCTTGATCTCATAGGCATGTATAAAACATCACACTAAATAACTGCATAATGCACATTCTTTGCAAGCTTCTATGGGGGAGCTGCAGAAACTATGTAGTAGGCCTTAAATCACATTTCAAACACTATGTTCCTTGACCACCATGCAATAACAAAAAGATACTGGAAAAATCCTCGTATTTTTGGAAATTAAGAAAAGAGTTAACTAATTTAAAAATCGTAATTGGTGGGGCACAGTGGTTTACACCTGTAATCCCTGCACTTTGGAAGGCCAAGGCGGGTAGATCGCCTGAGGTCAGGAGTTTGAGACCAGCCTGGCCAACATGCTGAAACCCTGTCTCTACTAAAAATACAAAAATTAGCCAGGTATGGTAGTGGGCACCTGTAATCCTAGCTACTCGGGAGGCTAAGGCAGAAGAATGGCTTGAACCTGAGAGGTGGAGGTTGCAGTGAGCTGAGATTGCGCCATTGCACTCCAGCCTGGGTGACAAGAGTGAAATTCCATCTCAAAAAAAAATAAGAATAATAGTAATAGTTTTAAAATGTTGTTTAATATAAAAAATTAAGAAATGTAGATAAAGTAATACCTAAAGGAAAATTTATGATTGCAGTGAGAGAAGAGGAGGAGCTGAAAGTTAATGTGCCAAGTATCTGGTTTAAGTAGTTAAAAAAAAGAAAAACAAAATAAGTCAAAAGAAAGTAAAAACAAAAAATGATAATAAAGATCTAGAGGAAAATAAACATACAGTTGAGAGGAATGAGTTAGAGACATTATTATACATGCTTCGGAGATTAAACAGATTGCAGGAAGATATTGTGAATAACTTTATGATGATATGCTGATATATTTTTAGAACTTTGGTGAGATAAATACAATTTTAATATTTAACTTACAAATATTTACTCAAGGAGAAATACAAAATCCAAATATTCCTTTAATTATTATGGAAACTGAATCAAGAACAAAAATCTTCCCACAAATTAATTACTAGGCTTTTATGTTTTACTGGTGAGTCCTACCAAACATTCAAGGAACAAATATTTCAGTCTACAAACTATTCCAGAGTATAAGAAAAGAGGGAACACTTTCCAACTCTATTATCTTAATATCAAAACCTGGCAAGGACAGTCTACAGAAAACGTTTTAAAATTGCAAGACATTCTTAATTGTGGATAAAAATGCAAAAATTCAGGCCAGGGACGGTGGCTCATGCCTGTAATCCCAGCACTTTGGGAGGCCGAGCCAGGTGGATCATTTGAGGTCAGGAGTTCAAGACCAGCCTGGCCAACATGGTGAATCTCGTCTCTACTAAAAATACAAAAATTAGCCCAGCATGGTGGTGGGTGACTGTAATCCCAGCTACTTGGGAGACTGAGACTCTCTAAGAGAAACGCTTGAACCTGGGAGGTAGAGTTTGCAGTGAGCCGAGATCACACTTCCGTACTCCAGCCTGGGTAACAGAATGAGACTCTGTCTCAAAAAAAAAGGCAAAAAATTCCCAATAGAATAATAGCAACTTGAATCTAATAATGTTTAAAAAGTGAATGCATCATGACCAAGTTAGGTTTATCCCAGAGATTCAACAATTGTTCTTTTTGGTGTTTTGTTTTGTTTCGTTTTGTTTTTGAGACGGAGTCTTGCTCTGTCATCCAGGCTGGAGTGCAGTGGTGTGATCTCAGCTCACTGCAACCTCCGCCTCCCAGATTCAAGCAATAATCCTGCCTCAGCCTCCCAAGTAGCTGGGATTACAGGTGCATAACAGCACACCCAGCTAAGTTTTGTATTTTTAGTACAGACGGGGCTTCACCATGTTAACCAGGATTGTCTCGATCTTCTGATCTCGTGATCTACCTGCCTTGACCTCCCAAATTGCTGGGATTACAGGCGCGAGCCACTGTGCCTGGCCAGCAGTTGTTTAATATTTAGAAATTGACATTGAGTGGAGCAAGCGAACTGAGTGGTTGTGTAGTCACGTCTCAGAAACTGGTTGCACTAGCAGCATGGTTGGCCAACTGACTGAAGAGCAGATTGCAGAATTCAAAGAAGCTTTTTCACTATTTGACAAAGATGGTGATGGAACTATAACAACAAAGGAATTGGGAGCTGTAATGACGTCTCTTGGGCAGAATCCCACAGAAGCAGAGTTACAGGACATGATTAGTGAAGTAGATGCCCAATGGTAATGGCACAGTTGACTTCCGTGAATTTCTGACAATGATGGCAAGAAAAATAAAAGACACAGACAGTGAAGAAGAAATTAGAGAAACATTCAGTGTGTTTGAGAAGGATGGCAATGGCTCTATTAGTGCTGCAGAACTTCACCATGTGATGACAAACCTTGGAGAGAAGTTAACAGTTGAAGAAGTTGATGAAATTATCAGGGAAGCAGATACTGATGGTAACAGTCAAGTAAACTAAGAAGACTTTGTACAGATGATGTCAGCAAAGCGAAGACCTTGTACAAAATGTGTTAAATTTCTTGTACAAAATTGTTACTTGCCTTTTTTTTTGTCACTTATCTGTGAAAGGTTTCTCCCTACTGCCAAAAAAAAAATGCATGTATAGTAATTAGGACTTCATAAACAAATAAATAAAACAATTACAATTTGAAAAGTAAAAATTGACTAAGGTAATTTATTCCAGTAACAGATTAAAGGGGGAGAATATGCTTCTTTCAATGGATACAGAATTAGCATTTGTATCTTCATGACTTTTTAAAAAGTTCCTAGGATAGAAGGGAATTTTCATTACCTAATAATAAAATATCTCTACAAAATCCAACAGTAAACATTATAATTTTAATTGGGATTCCTTGAAAGTATTCATTCCCTTAAGATGAGGAGCAAGACAAGGGAGCCCACCGTCACTTCCAGTCAGTGATGTAGTGGGAGGGACGTCCTCGCCAGTAAAGTAAACCAAGACAAGGAAATGACATAGGATCAGAAAGGAGAAGGCAGATCTGTCATTATTCTCAGACAACATATTTGATTGTAAACCCAAAAAGAATGTTCAAATAGATTATTGGCTTTATCAGAGAATTTTCCAAAATCAATTGCATTTCTATATTTCTGCACCAACGGGTAGAGCATGTGATTACAGAAAAGATACACTTTACATACCTAGGAATAAATCTAACAAAAGATATGTAAGACCTGTGATTAAAATATGCACACACACACACACACACACACACACACCCCTTATCGAGAGACACTTTAAGAAATTAATGGAGAGGCCTACATGTTCGTGGATTAAAAGTTACAGTTTGTGGCCTGGTGCAGTGACTTATGCCTGTAATCCACATACTTTGGGAGGCCAAGGGGGATAACCCAAGCTCCCGAGGGGTTCAAGACCAGCCTGGGCAACATGGCAAAACCCATCTCTACTAAAAATGCAAAAAATTAGCTGGGCGTAGTGGTGCATGTCTGTAGTCCCAGCTTACTCAGGGGACTGAGGCACGAGAATTGCTTGAACCCAGGAGGTGGAAGTTGCAGTGAGCTGAGATCACACCGCTGTACTCCAGCCTGGACAACACAGCCAGACTCTGTCTCCAAAAAAAAAAAAAAAACAGTTACAGTTTTGTAAAGATGTCAGTTTTCCCTAAAATTGATTTGTATATTTGAGAGGGTATTAGTTGTTTATTTTTGTTTTTTGAAATGTATATGAAAGAGAGAAGAATCCTTATACTCCTATAAAGAATGGGGATGCCAGTAGGGGGCTGTGTGTGACTTGTCTTAACCAGATTACAAGAATTAGCATCAAGCTAACATGCTTGAGAGAGTGTGATATTGACACCAAATAGAGAAACCTAAAACTAGTCTATATATAGGAAATAACTTACAACCAAGATGCATTGCAGTTAGAGGAGGAAAGGATAGACTTCAATAATAACGTTAGGACAATCAGTTATCGTGTAGGAAAAAATGGAATTAGATCTGTGCTTCGAACTGTACACAATTTCAGGTTGCATTAAAGACTTAAATATGAAAAGCAAAAGTGTAAATCTTTTAGAATACATTAGAGGACCAGATGATTACAGTCACAGTAAAAGGAAAGGGCTTCTCAAATCAAAACCAAAAAGTGCAAACCATAAAGGTAAAAACTGATACATTTGACTTGGTTAAAATTAAGAACTTCTAAGATGCCATGAAGATATTGTGGGAGGTTTTTTCCCCCCTTCGTTTCTTATTCATCAGAGATAGATTCTGAAGATAATGTTATCTTGAGTTTGCTTTGAAAATACTCCAGGAAAAAAATGTGAAGAGATGAAACAAATGGTAGGGCGTTGATCATTATCAAAGCTAGATGATGAGAACATGGGAGTGTATTATATTGTTTTATTTTTTATGTATGTTTGAAATTTTTTATTTTAAAAACCTTTATCAGGGCCGGGTGCATTGGCTCACACCTGTAATCCCAGCACTTTGGGTGACCAAGGAGGGAGGATCATTTGAGTCCAGGAGTTCCAAACCCGCCTGGACAACATAGGGAGGCCTTGTCTCTACAAAAATTTTAAAAATTAACCAAGCCTGGTGGCACATGCCTGAGGTCCCAGCTGCTCAGGAGACTGAGGTGAGAGGATCACTTGAGCCCAGGAGGTCGGGGCTGCAATAAGCTATGATTATGCCACTGCACTCCAGCCTGGACAACAGAGTTAAGACCCTGTCTCAAAAAAAAAAAAAAAAGTTGTTTGTTTTGTGTGTGTGTGTTTTTAAATAATCCATCCTGTTTTTATGGTGACTGTCCTGGATTTTCTAGAAGTCTTCTAATATTTTTAAAAAACCGTATCTGGGTCAGGTGTGGTGGCTTGTACCCATAAACCCAGCACTTTGGCAGGCTGAGACAGCAGGCTCACTACTTGAGCCCAGGAGTTTTAGACCAGGATGGGCGAAATAGAGAGATTCCATCGCTACAAAAAAATAGAAAAAAAATTAGCTAGGCATGGTGGCACATGCCTGTGGTCCCAGGTACTCAGGAGGCTGAGGCCAGAGGATCGTTTGAGCCCAGGAGGTTGGGGCTGCAAGTAAGCCACGATCATGCCACTGCACTCCAGCTTGGGTGACAGAGCAAGACACTGTCTCGAAAATAAATACATATAAATAAATAAATAACCTTTTCTGAAAAGATCACTTGTTAAGTACATGTCTAAATACAATCTAATTTTTTTCCTGAGTAGCACTTATAAATTAATAAATTACAAAACAATCTCCTTTTAAAAATACCAGGCAGGGCACAGTGGCTAACACTTGTAAAGTCAACACTTTGGGAGGCCAAGGTGGGAGGATTTCTTGAGCCCAGGAGCTCCAGACCAGGCTGGGCAACATGGCAAAACTCTGCCTCTGCAAAAAATTTAAAAAGTAGCCCAGGCATGGTGGCACATGCCTGTGGTCCCAGCTACTCAGGAGGCTGAGGTGGGAGGATTGCTTGAGCCCCTAAGGTTGAGGCTGTAGTGAGCCATGATTCTGCCACTGCACTCTAGCCTTGGCAACAAAGCAAAACCCTGTCTCAAAAAGCCATAGAGTGAAGACACAAGTCACAAACTGGGTGAAGATGTTTGTAATACATAAAAAGCAAAAAGTTAGTATCCAGATATTTAAGCAAAGAACTTCTAAAATTAAATAAGCAGTTTCTTAGATATGACATCAAAAGCATAAGCAACAAAAGAAGAAAATAGACAAACTGGACATGCTCAAAAATTTAAAATTTCGTGCTTCAAAGGACACTATCAAGGAAGTAAAATAACAATCCATGAAATTGAGAAAATATTTACAAATCACGTATATGACAAGGGACTTGTATCTAAAATACATACAGAGCGCTTACAATTCAATATGACCCAGCCATCCCATTACTGGGTATATATACCCAAAGGATTATAAATCATGCTGCTATAAAGACACATGCACA